ATATATATATATATATATATATATATATATATATATATATATATATATATATATATATATATATATATATATATATATATATATATATATTTGCCCAATAAACATTTGGCAGAGTGCCACAACACATGAGTAACGATAACAAAAAGGAGATAGTGAGTCAAAGGAATGCAAACAAAGTTTCACGTATTGTGTGGGCATTGAGCTTCCTGGTTGCACAGACGGAGGAAGTGGGTTGACTTAAGGGACTGCACCCCGAGCCTCTGGTCTGCAGACTTGACCCTCAAGACAGCGACATGATTCACAAAGACCGTTGACAACCAGATGGCTCATTCGCCTCCTTTGTGTTCGGAAGCAATCCACAGAGAAGCCGGTGGCAAGCGAGGTTGTTCGTCCGCCCTCCGTTAGGTACTCACCCCCAGTTACAGGAGTGAGTGGTCAGTGACCCTATAGCCGGTCACATTGGCTTTGACACAGCGCCGTACGAGCACTTGTTGAATTTAATGGAGAACCAGGTGACCAGCCCAGAACTCCCCACGCTCTGAGACGCTGCCGCTGTTTGTCCGCGGCTGCTTATTCATCTCGCCTGTGAAGCAAACGAAAGTTGTTCGCAGTTACCTCCACAATGAAGGCCTTCTCCGATCCTCAACCTGGGGACACGCCCGATGGCGTACAGTTCTGCTACATGATCTCAAAGTACACATATTATTTCAAATTTTCCAAAATAGTTCAAAATCAGGTATATGGGGAGTTCAGTTGATATAAATGGTAAAAATAAGGCGAGTTTAAAAGCAGAATGAAAGTGGTTATTGTAAAAGCACAATAGAATTAATACGGTTTAACGTGGAACCGACTCATGGCGACCTGGTTCCATGGGGGTATTTCCTCGAAAGGTTTCATCCGCCCTTCCACGTCGCATGTGGCTTTTTGTCGGGGTGACAGCTTCAAGCAGGTCATTATCATACTAGCTCTTTTTATGGCTATTCTTATGCATAATGGGTAATAGGCTCGCAAAGATAAGTGGGCTCTCATGTTTTCGTTTTTTCTATTACTCTTTTAGGACATTCAGCCCATCTCGGCTTCTGAATCTTTTAAGTCTTACACCTCTTCCACTGGATGTATGTGTATCAATTTGCCTTGAGTAGGCATTTTTTCCCCACTAATAAGTCTGTGACAATTCGCCTTATGCGGGTGTATTAAATAATCCGGAAGCTTCATTCCCTTACCTCAGGAGATCGGCCCCGTTGTAGTCACCGGTGGAAAAAAGAAGTATAGAAGGTGGCGAAGTACAAATAATGATAAATGAGTGGCATGTAGCCGACAAGTTCTGCTTCAGTGTGTAAATAGGGAATATATAAAAAATAAGGAAAAAACGACTCTATGAACGATTTTGTGATAGATCCAGCGACTCCAGACCATGGAGTTCTAGAGTAATTGGACTTCAACGAGCATCAAACACTGCCACAGGTTGTTTTCTCCAGAAAAGATGTGATAACAATTAGCAGTGTGCAGCAAATGTAAAGAGTGAAAGGAAGATTAGTTTTGCATAGCGAAAAGCGAGATAACGTGATGTTGTAATGGGAATAAGTTTAATCGTTTAACTAAACGAGGAAGATAATTTTCAGTTTGCACTTGTCCATTACACCCCTATGCTTCAACCTCTTTTTCATACATTGTCTCCACGCTGCAGTCCAGTTTCATAAGTTTTTTCTTTGACTTGCAACACAGTGAGTACGTATCCAACATTTCCCCAAACGAATGTTTTTACTCACATAGTCGCAACTCTCAGTAGCTAGTCTGTTCCAGATATCTGAATACTTCGTCAGATAAAACTTCTGCGTATGCTTGTTTTTGTTCTATTTGTGGGAAGCGAATTTCTCTTATTCCTAATGTTATACCTTCCATTCTGAATGAAGTGTATACTAGTGTGCGGGGCAAATACTCATTTGTGCACTAAGTCGAATAGAAACTTCAGGCCCAGTTTCAATCTACCTAATTACAACGACTCTAATTTAGGCAGAATACAGCTCTCTGAATAGTTTGTTGTTGGGGACTCGGTAAATAGGGTTTTGGTGGATCGACGCTGCAAATTCTCCAAGATCATGTTTCCACAATTAGTGAATATCATCGAACAGTATTCATAAAGAGGACGCACGCAGAATCTGAACATATTAAGCTTTGAATCACGCAATATCAGTGCTTTGAAGATTAACCATGCTGTTTGGCGGGCTTTGGTTGCTAGGAATTCGATCTGCTCCCTGAACTTGAGGGTGTTTGGATAATGAATACCCAACTCTCTTATTGCGCTGTGGAATGGAATTGGCTTCCCACTAAGGTATAGGGTATTCATTTATATTTTGCATCGATATGCTAAGATCCCGCGTTTATCAACCGCAATGACATTTGCCAGCTGTAATAAATCACTACGTATTTTATCCAAAGCGTGTTTTAGATCTTTAGGATTAAAAATGTACAGTATGTTAATATCATCTGCAAAATGGTAGGCTGTACCATTTTTAATAGCTTCTGTTATCTCATTAATGTACATCAAGAGTAGCAGGGGACCAAGAACACTCCCTTGGATCACACCACTAGTAACAGGCAGCGATGATGAGCTATGAATATCTATTTGCACTTGTTAAATACGATCAGTAAGATCTGATCTAAACCAAGCGTGCAAGGGGTCTATGATGCCAAATTGTGACATTTTCCATAGCAGGGGACGATGCGGCTCTCTATGGGATGCTTTTTGCATCTCGATGAAAAAGATGACAGCTGCATAGCCATTATCCACAGAGCTCGTTAAACAATTTAGGAATTCCGGCTGACATGTTTGACATGATCGTTTCTGCATAAAGCCATGCTGAGTCTGATTAATCAGGTTTTGTGCTAGCAAATGGTTTATTGTTTTCTCTGTACCCATTCGCCCTATTACTTACGCAACAGCCGGCGTGTGAATTATTTGGCACTAGTTTTTGTGGTCTGCTTTTGGACCATTTTTTGTGTCTAGGCCTGACTAGTGTGAGCTTCCATTGAATTGGGAGAGTGCTCGACTCCATGGACATGGTAAACAAGTTTAAGAGTAAAATTGGAATATCATGTCCACCGTATTTTGGCAAGGAAGTTGGTAGACCGTCTGGGCCAGGATAAGTGGATGATCGTAGTCCGTCTATGTGGCGCTGAATACCTCTGCTGTTGAAAGTCACTGTGCTCAGTTTTACAATGCTAATGGTTGTTTTGGGCAAAATTACGTCATCTAGAACAGTGAACGATGAGGTAAAGTAATTACTTAGAGTATTTGCTATTGTGTAAGGATCTGTGGTCGGAGATTTGCATGGTAGAGTAATGGCGGAAACTGTACCATGTTTGATTTTATTTAGTGCCATCATTTTGACTAAGTCTCCGGATATGTTTGCAGATTCCAGAGCTCGTTTCTCTTCCGCCAGTAAACCGGTTCATCAAGGAGCCTGTCCTGCCTTATTAATAAAGAGAAATCAGGCGTCCGTTTAATATGAGTACGCACTTTCTTTAATTGCTTTAATAAGCGCGACGTTCTTAATGAAACATTTTTTCTCCCTTGTTGTTTGATCGGCAAAAGGGTGTCTGGGATTTGTTAGAAGTTAGCGTACATTTCATTAGCCGCACTCCGTGGTTCTTTTGTAAGGAAGCTTTGATGTAAATAACTAGGTGAGTTCCATAACTAACGACGTTGCTGCATGCATGAGATTCTTCCTTTGAATAAGTCAAACAAACTCACTCCAACGCTGCCAAATACGAACTAATCAGCATATAGGCGAAGATGCGTAGGCGTCCAAACATCTGCTCCGTTCGTTTGCGGCAAGCCAGACGCTTGCTTCATCATGTAAGGCCGTACCGTTCTGCTTGCATACTCCCATCACACTGTATGTAGCAGATAAAGCGGTCTTTGTTAGCCTGTGCGAGGGCCGATGCAGGTTGCAGGTTGAGGTTTAAAGAAATAGTCACTGTACGTGGCCTCAGCTACTGCCAAGTTGCTCAGACCTAGACAGGAAGACGATTAGGGTCTTCAGCCAAAGTGGCTCAAAAACCTGTCCACCAGGCGGCGGGGATGTGACAACGATTCGGTTTTACAGAAATGGACGCCATCTCATTTCAAACCCCAAATCTGGAGTACCAGGAGACTAAGTTTTCTGATCTCTAACGGTTGATCAACGTGATAGGACTAGCTCTCAAATGGCCCAGTGGCACCACCCAGTATATCTCAGTGGGTCGATGGGGTACGCAAACCGTCGCACCACGTTAGGTTCCAGTCACATTACGATGGCAGTCTTACCAGTGACCTTGAGTTAAAGTGCAGACGCGTGGACCACTTGGTATCGGACGTTGTAAGTGCGCAGTCGCCTTAGCCATCGCTTTGTGCACAAATCGATTGAATCCTCCTCCATTCCTGTTCCCTACCACTAATGTCGCTTATCTTGATTCACGGTCGTATGGTAAGGTATCGACGCACAGAAGTACCGGGGTATCGTTGTCGTTGCTATTGCCAATGTGGATGGTGCTTATGTTGCGGATGCAGTGTTGCTACTGCGGCCGATGATATCGATTTTTTAGAACTATCTGATAAACAAACTGATACTGCTTCACCGTGTACCTATAACTTCAATAATGTCCTCCAATCTTCAGATTCCTCTCCGTGCTCTACTTATTTTGGTTGGCTTACTGTCTTTTGCTTGCCCCACGCATATTTATCTGGCCGTGTATTTAACAATCTCATCCATAGTCACATCATATACATTCCATTAGGAATATATCTTGTTATTTTATGGCTTACGGGTGTAGGAGTAACTTATACCGGGTACCATTACTGCATTCAAACTTTGCATTCCATTAGATAGAAGTTCATAGAATCAACTGTCTAACTTGCCATCTCTGTTGAATCTTGGCTAGCAAAACTACCCTAATTAATTTCCGTCGCTTCTAACCGGTCTCACTTCTCTCATCATATGCGGTTCTTTGTGCTTTAGATCCCCGGTTTCTCCTCACTGGACGTTGCCAAATCAATCGCGACTAGAATGTCTAACTCATCTCTGTGTGGCGCCATCGCAATTAAAGCACGACCTTTACGTTCGAGTGCGAACAAAGGGACAGCGGGTCGGTTCAAATTCGCATTATTGGAGCTAGAAAACCCAGCCGATAGTCAGTGGAGTAGTTACCACAATTTGTTGGAATCACACTTCAAAGATGCACTCCTGTTGCTATCGAGTGACACTTCTGATCCCCTTGCGAAAAAAGCGTAGTTATATTATTGTCTTCATTCACTTTTGTAAATAATGCGACTGTATATGCACAATACACTTCTCTAGTCAATCCCGTGTTTATTCTTTTCTCCTTGTGTCACCCCTATGGTATATTTCCCCTACTTTTGTTCACAATTGTGCAGCGGTTGTCATGGTAGTGTGTAGTCAGGAGAAGGAGACGGATTCACGTGACGAAACATGCAGTTAGATTGCAGCAAACGAACGGAGTAGCAGGTTGGATGTCTAAGTTGATTGGTTAATATTTGGCTGCGCAAGGGTGAGTTTGTTTGGCCGAAGCGAAGGCAAAATCTAATGAGTTCGGAAGCGTCGCAATTTATAGAATCGGCCTAGTTATATGCATCAAGGGTTCTACAGGCTAGTGATGGTGTCATTTTCTCTGGGATTACTCTGCCGGATAAACCGTGTGTCTTTGGTGAAACGAGTTCCTTGACAGGGGGGACCACATGCATGCACGCTCCTTCCTGTGTGGCACCTCATAACGTCTCCCTACACAACTGGTTCACTCAGCAAGCAATCGGACCAAGCATTGTTCTCAGTGTGGGTCCGTATATCCTCCTACCGTCAGCAGAGGGCGGTTAAAGGTGGCTCATCATGACAGTTTTCAGACTTCGTATTGGTCCCCATGGTCTTAATCGAATGGACTAGTCGATCTTGAATACGGCCAACATATGACCTGGATTTGGAGTGTTTACATTGCTTCTCATCTTGTGCCCATTGAATACGTTCGCAGTATTGTTGTTTTGTGAATGTATGCACATTCAAACCACGTGCCATGTTCTTTGATTGTGGGCCTGACTTATACATAACTTGTACCTGTTATCGGAAACTATCTTATCATTTGGTGTCCCCTGCACAGCGTCGGAATGTTTCCGCTGCAGGACTGTCGGTGGTTGTTCCAAGTTTCTTTTGGTATATTTGAAGCGACTGCTCACGTCATACATACCCCAGAAAACCATAGCATCAAGCTGCTGCGATAGTCTCTATGGGTTGGTTGTCAGTCACAAATTTGTGCTTTCCGCTTCCGTGCTTAACTGTTAACTGCGCATTTGGCGCTCTCGGCGAATTCCGTGGCTCGCTGTTGAACTTATATGCTGCATGATATTCTTTCATTCCACTGAGTTTTACTCCCGAGGGTATCACGCGTTTCGTGACTATGTTTACTATCTTGTCCAAGGGTATTGGCACAACAAGGTTCCAACCACTAAGTTTGACGAAGAAATGGCGCTACTGTGCTTGACATCCGGTACTCGTAGATAAACTTTTGGAAGGATGAGCCAACATCGAGGAACCGATTCCGAAAGTGTGATCAGGTACCCTACTCTCATAATCACGCACGCAATGTTATCGATCGAACGACTCTTATTCTACTCCGGTGACTTGGTGTGCTATCGATATTAGCATTTGTTATTCATTGAATTCCGCTTCAGACTGAATGTATATTACCGGCACGGGAAGTTAGGACGTGCACTTGACTGTGTCATTGAAAGCATACGTAACGGTGACTCGCGGATCACTTAAGAGAGCCATTAAATTCAATCGACCTCCAAACAATCATGACTGTTCAGTGCGATTTTTAATGCACCATATGGTGCATGTAGTCAGTATTCCATTGTGACCCGCAAGCCAGATGTAGAGTTTTAACTGTGTACCCAAAATATCACTCACTTTGTCTGCTTATCGATCAGCTTGCATCTGAAAGAGGATTCCATAGAGCATTGTGTGGAAAAGCAGGTTATGTCGGAATTTATTGCAACTAGTAGTCTTCCAAACTTCCTCTGGTAACTACATTGAATGCCTACCAACTAGCTGATTGATGACAGCGAAATGCATGTCCCACCGACGAAGATTACGGTGCATCTCGACGGATATCAAGCCAATGACAAAGTAACTTAATAAGCTCTGCAATTTCCTCCGGTGTGTGTATCCTACCTTGTTCTTTGAAGACAATGATCCAAGGCGAATTGATGAAGTCCCACAAAACCTACTATTGTCCTCGTTCTATTCACCCTATGGAGAGCATCCATAGTCCCTGCTCTGAAGTGCGATGGTGCCGTTTGTATTCTTCGCTACTGGTTGAAACTCGTTGCTTGGTTCCAACAGGTGTCCTTTGCTCGCTTGGGTGCTTACCAGCGATCAGAAATGTACACAATTCTGCCTGAATCACGCGTGCTTACCGGTCTGGTGTAACGCAGAATTTCCTGAGTACATTATGACGAATGATCCACGCGAGCATATTTCATTGCTTCATCTACCTTCTGGAAGTAACTCTTACTTAGCGACATTTTCAACGGGCTACTAGTGACTCATTGCTAGACCTTCTCGCCTACTCGTGTACTGACGGCACATTGAGCACAGGGCCCACAGATACGGTGCACGTGAAAACGCGACTCATTGTGCTCGAGAGTCACCAGCGTAACTAATTCAGAGCAAACGCTTATCGGTACACTTATCTCCGGTTTTTTCTTTATCCGGCTTCTCGCGTTACTTGTATATGTAAAACATTAGTAGTAAACCCATTGCTTCTCACCTTTAACCTCTGCAATTCTTTATCATTGTCGTCATCTGTTGCCTTCCAACTTGGCAATACTGTTATCTTTCTACGAAGTGTTGCGTAACGGATAGCTCCGGACCCAGGATGCGGGTCAGAACGAGATGTTCCCACTTGCGAACCAAGTCAGTGCGTCCGAATTTCTTACACACTTCTAATCCACCATCTTTATTCTACAAGTTGGCCAGATTCAAAAATCTCAGTTAGTACACCATCACAATTGCAGTATGGCTAGTCCCTAAGCGAAATAGATACGGAAATTTTTTTGCTAAATATATGTATGTTCATTTCTGTCAGGTATTTCTTTTTCTTTAGGTTTTATGAAAGATCTTACTCTTATAAAACTGATTGTTGTTAGTATGTTTTGTGCCAGGCATAACCCACCGATGTGTTTGTGGAAGTGTTTTCGACTTGCATGGATATTTCAAATCTCTCGAACTAAGTTAAGAAAATCCGTCGTCATACCCACGTTGGGTCCATGGGCTGGCACTACTTCTGTGCACCATCAAACCCAAGCAAACTGGACATAGTAATACTCTGACTAACACTCCATACGTCGCATCCAAGAGCTACAGACGCTGATTCACCGGAAACTACCAACTTGCATCTCTAGCTACCCGCTACACGATTACAAAGGCACTTAAACGTCGATTTTAACCTCATTTCCCAGTTCTACTCTCCTTTCAACTTTCGGATGAGCCAGCTAATTTGTCCGTGAATTATAGTTAGATTTCGTGTGAAGTTATACCTAACTAGTCACCCAAGTTTTAACACTGACTCGTGTTCAGCTGTCGTCCGTTGGTTTCAATCCCTAATCACTCCGGCCTTTAATAATGACGCAATGACGTGTCAATCATTTCTTCATCTTTTAACTCTTCAGCTGCCCTCTTTCAGTGTTTGTCACAAAGTCAGTGGCGTTCCTGCATACGACTTCTTTCATCTGGTTGTTAAGTTTCGTTCCATTCTGATTAGTCAAACGCATTTCTCTCGCTTTCATTTCCACTACCTTCTATTTGAACCCAATCAGATTATCTTACCGGTGTCATTTATTGTTATTCTCACGGTGTGAGTCGTGGCAACTTGGTCCACCGCACTTCAGCGCTCGGATTATAGTTGATCAACTGAACTATTTGTGGTTACGAGGCTACCAACGTAAGCCAAAGATGTACCGCACTAACGCAGACCGTGCGGTAGTCATCTGACAACTTTATTGCGCTTCAAGGCATCACACTTGACAATTTTGTAACGTAGTATGGCATCTTATGACAAATGGGTTGCGTCGTGATCGCAGTATACCAATTTCACCCAAGATGTTTGTATTTGTGACTTTTTACCGATTCCAGTGTAGTCCCATCATGCACCCTTGCAACTATCATAACGCGTTCTAGTTTGTTCGACTCTTAGCCAGAAGGGACGAGCATTCTTCCCCTCCACGCGCGCAGAGTAGCCAGTCAAATTCGGTTGGTTGAAGGCTAACGTGACCTAATCAACATCATTACACACACTAGCTGCAGGTGGCAAACATCTCGGCTATGGTGTCGCAATACAAAAAAGCGTGAAACATGCACACCAGCTGTCACCAGTAACGGATGGGCATCATTCCGGAGAGCCGCAATAAGTCATGTAATGCCTACTATTTTAGATCGCTGCTGGAGGAGGAGGCTAAGCGGAGGGGACGGACAAAGGAACTCACAGCACAAACGTCATTGAGGTCTGCTCCTAGCCATGTCAACAACTGTATCCAACCAAACATGTTCATAGTGCTTCGGTCCCCAACCACGGAGCCGAGAGGCTCCAACCGAGGCCAACTTCGAAGTAAGGACCTTCATTTCTCTTGACCAAGTTATCCCTTGGCTACCTCTCCTATTCTTTCATCTGCACCCACGGCACGCAAATAACCCACGTCGCGGAAGTCAGTTGGCTGGGTTGCGCAACACGTGGCCCAGCCATCGGTCTGGTGCATGAAATAACGGTGCTGAGTGGTTCCCTTCCTCTTTTTGTGCTATAAACAAGGCATCGAACGAGCTCATCGCTCACACGGTGTTCCTACCAGATTTGACCCAAACTGCGAAAGCACCGGTGGTCAAACATCGCTGGCCTCTTTACGTCTGCCCCTCTAATGGGCCAGGTTTCACAACCGTACAGTAGGATTGTACGTACGGCTGCACTGTGAACTCTACCCTTCAAGAAGATAGTGATGTCTCGCCGCCTCCATAGGTGGCGAAGGTTAGCAAAAACGCCTAGAGCTTTTGCTATACGGTTTGTGACCTCGTCTTCAATTCCAACGGCGCTGATACAACTACGTAGGTACTTGAACTTTTGAACGAATTCTAACTGCTCCCCACAAAGGGTTAGCGCAGGAGGCGGTCCATGCCAATCTTGGAGGGAAGCTTTGAATTTTGAGGGTGCAAAACATATCTCGAAACGGTTGACAGCCAGTGCTAATCTGTCCAGTGCCGCGTGGTATCTTATGGTGTTGTCACGGAGGAGGGCAATGTCGTTAG